TTGTAGTCATACAACTTAGCTTAGGGCAGGTATTCATGATAACCTGTACTGTAAAAAAGCTTTTAACTTCTTTTATAGTTTTTCTACTGCACTGCAGAATTGTTCAAGTTTATCTACAACTATGTAATTGGTAAACATGTACCAATTAGCCTCTACCTTCTGAGCTTCTCAGTCATTATAGGTATATCTTTATGATTTTCATTCTACTCTTAGTTTTAGTGACAAAATCCACAATATAAAATTAGAGGATAACAATTGAAGTTTATTTATAACCAGGACATTACAAGTAACTAGATAGAAAGAATAGTATGGAGTTAATTCTTATATTTACTTTTCTCAATTAATAAATGAAACTCTTTATTATAGTTTAAAAGTTTACATATTTTGTGAGTGCTATCTCATGGTTCTAAACCTAGCCCTAGTATAAAAATATACAATAAATTTTTGTATTAGCAATAAAAAAATATTGTCATTTGATAACAAGTGCCAAACACACCCCAATATAAAAACATTTATATGCCAAAAAATATGCTATAAAAGTCATTTTTATGCCATAAAAGTGACATGCCGAACAGAGCTTTAAGTATTGGTTGATACTTAGTTTGTTTTATGTTTTGAGTGAGTAAGAACCTGAGTGAGAATTCATGATCATACTCAAATACATACATGTATTTAAAAAGACTACTGATTTCCACTTGGGAAACGGCAGACTTCGGCAAGCAATATTCTAATTTACTCGGTTGAACGGTTATCTTTATATTTCCCACCCATTATAAAAAACCCACCTCCCGAAGCCTCCCTTTCCGAGCACTGACTGTGATCTCTGGAATATTACTACCTGCTCCTATTGTACCCGACAAGCGTGATTAGCGCCCCGGCGTGAACACTTTATAATGGGAAACTTAAAATCAGAGAACAGGTAGGATTAAACTGTCATTCTCATGGGGGAGATACATAGACTTTTCAGACATGACTACAGGACATCGTACATTGCAGCTTTAACCAGCATTGGCCAGACACAGTACCTTGACTTTTGTTTATGTGGATTATACTAACTTGAAATTTCAATAGTTGCAGGGTACAATTTGTGTTCTGCCGTTTTAGCATTTTCTGAACTCACAGACTGACAGACACACCCTTAGCACTTCCCCGAACCGACGGTGGCCAGACCCGCCCTGATGCTGAATTGAAGGTAATGTTGAGCTATTGGACATGTCAAAGATCTGCTACACGATTTGCAACCGTGTTTAGTTCCACAATAGGTGGAAACCTTAGGACATTTATTCCATTACACCTGCATTATTTTTGCCATCAATACCGCTATAAACTCGTCAAGCTTCTCCCTTGGTTTATCTAATGTTGCCCACAACCCACTGCTCCGACACTGTAACACTATTCTAGTCTAGTCCCAATTTAAATGTATGGTAAGCAACGACGTTTAAAAGTTCAGTTTTTCAGTGGCTTCACAAAGTCACTACCCGGCATAAACCCGGGGGATCTACATCTATACTATACTAATCAACTCTCTCCTAGCGATATCCTCTTTTCCGAATCAATAAACCTCCCAAACCACACGCCCAGCCAGTGCAAGTTTATACGCACCGTGACTCTTATACACGCCGTGGCCCCCCTGGATATGAAAGAAAAAAGAAATTAAAAGTAGATATCCGACTATTGTGGGAAAACAGTTAATGGAAAAAAAGACATTCAACACCAAACTCGAGAAACGTGGAATCAGGGTGAGAAACAAGCCAGGAATGAAAAGAAAGATCACGTATAACGAGGCCTAGAACCTATATGAACAGTATAAAACACAAAGGTGATATGGTTAAAAACTACAAGGTAGTGCGATGGAAGGATCAAGGGAAACGGAAGGATCTCTTCTGGGGCCGGTCCCAGCCAGCCTGCCACCCTTTCCTTCCAGTTCTGCCCCTTTTTTTTCTTTTCTGCAAGACGTGAAGGAATGTATCACACTAAACGCAATTGCCGCTCCCGACGAGAGAACAACCCGCACGTAGTGGAGACAGCCCATCCTAGTAGCTGGCGACATCCCCATTAATACCCCCCGATGTTTAAATCATGATGCATGAGATCTCCATCGGCAGTTCAGTACTCTGGTCAGGTGTTGGGTCCACAAGCCTCGTGATGCTGCGAGTAAAAAACACATTTGCTAACGCCAGTAATCCCCTCCCTCGTAACCATTTCATCGGTGCTCCGACATACTTCCTCCTAGGATCACGATGTCCACCGACATGAACACTCTCCAGGTATGGAATCCCGCTTCCGTCGCGGCGGCACCTGCTCTTTTAGAATGACTAACCCTTCGCCATTCGCATCCATAAACTGTTTCAACCCGCCGAGACGAGTGACAACCATCTGGGTACACTTCACATCGCCGGGCTTGCCGGAGCCGCGCGGGTCTGCATCAGTAAGATCCATCCCCATCACCCGCCGCAACCGCTTGGGTGATGGCCTGGTTTCTTCGATGGTTATCTTGAGGGGATAGGGCAATGTTGTTTCTCCACGTTTAATCTTTCCGGTAGTAGGAATGTCGGAGAATTCGTAAGCACCATCCGTACCGGCAGAGTCGTTCAACCCCGTTGGTGTCGGAATGGCGAGGGCAGTGACTGGCGGCTCAATTTGACCACCATTGCCCACATTGAAGGAGTTTTGCGGTGGAGGCCCGCCTGGTGGTGGCGGTGATCCGGAAAGGGTCTTGCCGCGTTCATCAGAAAACCCATCCCTGCTGCCTCGACTATCACCCCGCCCATCACCCCGTCCACCCCCTTGCCCATCCCCCAAGCTAGCATCTCCACCCCTATGACTAGGAGGTCCACTATCCCCACCAAACCCTGTTGGATGGCGGGCCAAACTGGGCTGATTGATACTGATCTCAACATCTAGCAGTGTCTTCTCCCATACACACTTCCAAACAATGTCGCCTTCACCCAATGCCGTCCCATTTGCAAATTTCGGAGGGCCTCGGGTGTTCTTGAGCAGAGACAGCGTTTGATCTATGGAATTCTGTTTCAGGACAACAGTTTTGTCGTAAAGAATTCCGAACCTGTAGTTCGCAAACTTCCCCACTGGTGTGCTGTTGTTCGAGCGTAGGTTCAGCCGTTTATTGTTAGTCGAAGAATTATAGTAGGCCAAAGGAACGTGCCAGAAAAGGGGATTCTGAGCACCATCCCTCCAACCGGGCTCCGCGGAGTGCTCTTCCTGACCATTATCATCCTTAACTACCACATCCCAATCATCATCAAACCTTATTATCCCTTCCAGACTTGAAAGCATATATCCTCCCCAGGATCCCTCTCCATATTCTGCACCCATTAAGAACTCGGGGTGGCTAGGAAAGCTGCTCATTTTAACCCCAGATGACTCTGGTGGGAAATGGTCGAACCTCCATACAAGTGGTTTGTCTAGAGAGTTCTGGCACGACCAAAGCAAAGTAGAGCCTAATTCAAAAAACATGGGCGAAGACCGGTCTTGGAGTTGAAGTGGACAATTGGAAGAGATTTCTGAGAGCATCAAGGGTCTCAGCACCGCCATACCAGTTTTAATGTCGGGGAATGTATTATCGGGGTCCGAAATAGGTGGTCCAGTCTCCTCAGAAGACGGTGGCATATCGGCAACTGTGCTAGGAAACGATGATATTGATGTCACGGGGCTGCGATTGAGATCAGCAAAAGTAAAAATAATACCCCTTCACCTTGCGCAATCCCCACCATAGGACAGATAGGGGCATCGAGTGTTTGTAGACTTACACGCTTGTAGATGATGACTTCCTCAATCCCATACCCAGACCTACTCCCAACCCGACAGCTAACAGCACCAGCAACCCTATCCCAAGCCCCAAAACGACGATCCTAGCTTTGATCCCGAGCCACCGCTTCTCTTTCCATTCCTTTGCAGCTCCGCTTCTATCATCCGGATGACGAGATCCACGGCCATTTGCCCCCACTACCTGCCCCGCATCAGCCCCCACGACAAGCGGTGGTATCACCATCCTGGTATCCCTATGACCCTCTGCGTCCTCCCCCATTGAAAACCCAGAATCAGAGTTCGAGCGAAAATCTGCAACAATACCTCTTTCTTCCGGTTTTGATGGCAGCTGGTCCGGATACATACTATATGGAGGTGGTTCTGTCGAAGCGATTGAGGGTGGTTGGATTTGGTGATGGGGAGCAAACCCATCTCCCACCGGAATCTCAAATCCATCCCCGAAAGGGTCAGGCTCGCTGATATCAGAATTGCTATGTACCGACAAAGGATATATGGATTGTTGGTGGCCACCATAATCGAATCGAGGTCTCACCGGAGCAATTGATGGGAGTGGTGAAGGAGGTGAAGAGAGTTGTGAAAGCTGAGATGGTATTGAATAGAGCGTTGATGAATTCGTAGAATTGGTCGTGTTGGTTGCAACGGTGTTGGACCGATACAGTCCAGATCCGGTCGCATGACCAGAAGAATTGGATATTATAGAAGGTGCTAATGATGAGGAAACCCGATGTTGAGGAGGGTAACCGCCGCTCACTGCGCGAAAAGGGGAACGGGATCGTCGTGAGGAAAAGGAGGAATCACGTCTTATGGAGTACGTAGAAGGAGCTAAAGTAGATTCTCCCAAATCTCCTCGGTTGAGGTCTACAGGAGAAGGGCAACGTGAATGCACAGGGGTAGCAAACACATTCGAAGGTCTTGGAGAACTAGGTGGAGTTGCAAAGACATTTTCCTGTATCGGCTGAATATTGTCAGCAACGAAAGTGACTGAGCCTTCCGACCGTGAATATCGGGAGTCTTCGTCGTAGTCGGTGTCGCTAGGGACAAGCGGGAACAGTCGCGGAGTATCACGGAGGGGTAATCGGTTTTCCATCGGGGGCCACCCGGGATAGGGAGAAGGATCCCAGGGAGAGAGCAAGTCTCGCAGAGGGACCAGAGAATAGCTCGCTTCGACGCGGAGGGTAGGGGGTAGAAATGTGGGAATAGGGGTCGAAGTATACTAGTGAAGAGATAAGCGAAGCTTTTAGCAGGAGAATGTGTATCGATGGTTGAAAAGAAGTTATTTGGCGGGAGTGAGTCAGTAAGTGGTTTAAGCAAGAGCAGAGGGTTGGGCGATGATCAAGGAACGGATGAGACACACGAGAGGGCTGGGCGATGGAGCTGGCTTGTAGCTTTGGTCTCCAAGTTGATTGGGGCAACTGGCCAGGGAAGCAACCGAGCACTTAATCAGACACACAAAGAATGTGTCACAGCACAGTCCAAATATAAGTTAGGCTGTGTTCGGCACGCCAGGATTGGACTAGGATTTGGACTTAAAATCCCGACTTAAAATCCAAAGTCTAAAGTCCTAAATCTGGAAAGTCTGGTCTTCAAATCCTAGACCCACCAAATACAACAACATTTAGATGTAGACTTTTCCTAATTAATAATCTCCTGTGTGTCAGATAAAAAAATTTGCAATCAGGGATATTATAGTAACTAAAGACCTATATAAATTTCAGTATACTTTACTCTTTGCCTTATAATGATATTTTTATACTAGAATTCAAGGAAAAGTTTTTAATATTACAGTTTTCGCTTTGGTGCATTATTGTATTAATTATAATTTTACAAACTTAAGGGATCTCAAGAAATTTGAAAACAAGTTATTGATACAAAAACCAACTGTGGAAGATTGCTGCTATAGGAAGTAGGTACTCTGGAGTACTAGTTAATATATGACAGCAAAGGGAATAAGTTAGAAGTACACTTGAATTGAGAATAATGAAAATAGGCAGAAGGTGAAGAGGTATTTAGTAAAAGTTTATATTTCATGATACATATAATCTGATTATAAAAATATACAAACTATTAGATTATATTTTGAACTATTTACTAAGATAGGAAAGGTAAACAGAATAGGATATATATACTTTAGAGTTAAATATAAGTAACTTAGTTCTTAAAAGTATGCATCTTAAATCCTATTCTAATACTAATATGAAAATCTTAGGGCCTGTTCGGTATGTCTGTCATATTTTTTATGATCATAAAATGTGTAAATAGCATATATGTTAAAATAAAATATGATCATATTTTTGAAAATATGAGCGTTCGGTATGCCCAAAATATATTTTATATACAATGATAAACGTAAGTATACCCTAGAGTAATATGTTTGTTTTGCTTGTAATACCCTAAAAGTCACAGTCATATTCAGTTTATGAGTAGAACATGAGGGTTATAAAGCAAATTGAGTCCCACCTGCAGCCTACAAGCAATTAGTTTTTACCAAACAAGCTTTCTACCACTACACTATATGATTACAACAACTCGCAAGACAACCCACCGTCTTTTCTACCTGTGAGGTAGGTCAATACCTCTGTCCACCTTTGGTTAGCCAAACTACTGGAAGTTCAGCCTTCTACCTAAGAACTCTCCTGATTGAGTGCGCATGTGTTATAGATTTTCTATACAGAAAGGTATGTTGTCCTAAAGTATTCTAGAGCATCTAATACCCACGCATGCCTGGAGAAAGGTTAGGTGCCAAGGACTGCTGAGCAGAATCAGGCCATAGTGATATAACTTATGTACTAGGACTAATTGATAACTAGGTTAGAGATGGGAAACAGTATTTGGGTGGCAGATTCAGAGAAGTTCTTGATCGAGGAACTTCTCAAGCGAGTTTGGAATAGGGAGAGAGGCGAGAATGGATTTAAGAAACAAGTTTGGGCAGCTGTGGTGAAACAGTTGAATGAGGTATATAAAGAAAGACTGCGGAAGCCTATTACAGAACTACAAGCAAAAAGCAAAGAAAGTAGTGTAGGTTACTGACTCTTAGCATTAATTTGTTTACATTGAAGCCAGCTAATGTGTTAATAAGCTTAAGAGAGAGTTTGAAATCGTATATGCGATGAGAAACAATTCTGGCTTTGGATGGGATCCAGTCAATGGGCTTCCTACTGCTTCAGCTAATGTTTGGAGTGAGTACTTAAAGGTATAATTCTGACTTTGTGTATTCCTTCTTGTTTTAAACTCTACATTTCAACTAATGTGTTAAATAATACTACAAATAGGCTCATAAGGAAGCAGGCAAATATAGGCATAAGAGTCTTCCCTTTTATGACCTACTGGAGGAGCTCTTTGTACATGTTCGTGCAACTGGCCAGTTTGCCCGTACAGGTGCACTCCCCTCAGTAGCTGAGCAGGAACAAATAACAGA